CTAAGGGCCCAATTGTTAGCTTCACCTACACACTTGCTAATTGTTATCCCACTGCTAATACTAAAAATATGAAAAAACCATGACCCTTAATACAAGATCAAATGGAGTAAAAGTTTCCAGGTAACATACCCTAAATTTGCCCCACTAAGGGCCCAATTGTTAGCTTCACCTACACACTTGCTATTTGTTATCCCACTGCTAATACTAAAAATATGAAAAAACCATGGCCCTTAATACAAGATCAAATGGAGTAAAAGTTTCTAGGTAACATACCCTAAATTTCTAAAGGTATGACCTACAAAGAAAGATAAAGGTGCCTATGTGTGAGGGATTTCTCCTAATGCTTCTATTTTTCTCCTTGTTCTTCTTACTCATAATTAATTGCATGAATTGTTTAAATAGATGACCAATTTCATGTTTTAAGTTTGTAATTGTGTGATTTGAGATCCCTATGGGTTTCTTGTGAAACCCTTAGGGAATGCATTAGTGATTGTATGAAGAGATTGATTGCATATACAATTATATGTGTGTATTAGGTTGTTTAGAATGTTTATTACATAATTTGGGAGTTTTTTTTCAAATTGAAATATGAATATCAAATTTGAGGTACGTGTTTGAGGATTCGTGATTGTGTAGATGTGTGATTTATGATATGTCACTAATCGCTATTAGGGACTTGTCAAGCGATGTCAAGGCTAAAAGAAAAAGTTGATCTCGAGGTATCTCATGCTAGGCATGGGATAACCCTCAACAAGAGTAGAAGTTACAAGGGCTCCTTGTGATGCTTCCGTCGAGCGTAAGCTAATTCTTGCCGAGCATGGACATCTAGAGAGCTCTTAGTGGTGTTATCATTAGACATAGACTCGGTCACGTCAGGCGTTGTTTAGATAAAAACTAGTGTGGTCCTCTAGAGGACTCATGTATCACCCATTTTTTCATAAAATATAATATAAGTATTTTATTAATAATTTTGATATTTTTATTTTATTAATATGTGTCGAAACCCACCGAAAAATTTTACTGTTTCCAAAAAATGCATTTGGCTTGACAGATGGTTTTGAACCTCCATTTGAAAATCTCATCAACTATGGAATATCCGAAGATCGGACTAATCCTCCGTCAGATGGTTTTAAAAAATTGGTTTGAAGGAGTCACCACCGATATTTTGCACAACATCAAAAAAAGAAAATAATTTTCAAAAATTCAACTTTGGCCTTCACAGCCAAAGTTGAGTTCAAGGGTTTAGTTACGTGTCGAGAAGGTGTTAGACACCCCACAACGCCCAAACTCGATACCCTATTATAATTTTAGAATTATAATAGTGTAATGAAATTTTACCCCCTATTTATTAAGCATACATAGCAATTTATGTCATTATTCCTAATCTACTACATACATATTACTTTATTATCTACATGATACTTATTCTATTGCATACAAGAAAAATGATAAATAAAATAATAAATAAAAGGGAAGAAATTGGAACCTCTAAAACAAGTTTTTTTTTTATATATCTTCTCATAAAGTTATACAAGAGCGTTTTTTGGCAGACTCCGCACTCTACAATACCTTACTAATGCTCAAAACTTTTAACTAAGGAAACTCTGAAATCTCGACCAAAGGGTCCAGAGATCTCTTAATCAGGCACTAATGAGTTTTTTCACTCAAAGTGACACTGAAGAGAGTTAGAGAGGGGCAAAGAATGAGGTGTGTCAGAATGAGGGGGTGGCACGCATTTATAGGTGCCTAGGGAAGGGGAACAATCATTCCACGCCTATAGATTGCATGAAACATGCCAAGTGGAATGGTCGTTCCAAGCCTAGTATGTTGTGAAGGGGGAACGATCGTTCTGCCTTTGGGAACGATCGTTCCAAGCCTAGGGTTAGGGTCTTCACCCTTTTTGATGCAAAAGAACCTCTCGGATGTCCAATGCTCCATCTTGGCGTGCTCCTATGTCTTCCTTGGCTTTATGGAGTTGCTTTTCTTAACTCAAAATCTTCCTAACCCTTGCAGATAAAGCCCAAACAAAACTTGGTGTCTACAATAGGAGTTGTTAAACATTTATTTAAATTATGTAACATATTTTATAATATATTTTATGATATTTATTAAAGGATAAGATAATATTAATAAGGGAAGGGATCTTCGGGATAATCATGGTTAATATGTTTTAACTAGAGGGTTAAGGAGAGGTTATGTTTTAAAAAGAGTTGATCAATTTTTACATTATCATTTTTCACTTACACATTTATGCTTCAGAGTTCGGAGGACCTGAAGGAGAAGGAGATCATCTCAAGGTCATGCACCCATCTACTCAACAAAGTAAAGGGGAATGAGAAACTTCGCTATGAGTGTGAGTTTATATGTTGGATAATGGGATTGGCCCCCAATCTTGTGTATGTTGTGTGCCTATATATGAGGGGTATCCCCTAATGTTTCTATTTGATTCCTTAATCTTCTTGTTCATATTTAATTGCATGAATTGTTTGAATGGATGATTAATTTCATGTTTTGGGATGAAAATTGTATGATTTGAGGTCTTTGTGGGTTCCCTTGGGAAATCTTAAGGGAGCTTGTTATGATGGTGAAATGATAGTAGTTGCATATGTGAATTGGATAATATTGGGCGTTAATTACTTGTTATAGAACTCTTTTACAGATTGAATGGTATGTTTTGATGAATTGATGTGTGAGTCGCAATTCTGTGTTTTCCGATGCATGTTGTTTCAGATACGTCACCAGTTTCCACTTGGGGCATGTTGAGTGTAATCAAGGTCGAGATCAAAGTTTTCCATTAAGGTATTTCATGTTAAGTGTGGGATGACCCTCACTAGGCACGGAAGCTCTAGGGGTTCCCTATGATGCTTCTGTTGGGTATGAGCTGACTCTTGTTAGGCGTGGACACTCGAAAGAGCTCTTGATGGTATTCTCAATGGGTATGGACTCGATCACAATAGGCATGATTCAAACAAAGACTAGTGTGGTCCTCTAGAGGACCTACGAAGGGCATGGGGTGTGTGTCGTTGGGTGTTGTCCTACCTACAATTCTCATATTGTTATTTTTTTTAATCAAATGATTGTAACTCTTGTAATGTGATATTGAGTTAGATGTGAGTTGATCTTTGTGATGAATATGTGAAAGTGTATAATGAGCATGGAATGTGAGAAATATGTGAAATGTGAGATTATGGAATCATGTGAATGTAATTCATAGTTTGTTTGCCATGCATCATATGTATAAAAATGTTTTTGTAAGGGTACGATATGGAATATACCACCAAGGAAGATCTCTTGTGTAAAAGCTTGAGAATTGACTTTGGGGATAACTCGGTTTGAAAGTCTCAATCCTACCCTCATGAGCATAGGATGTATCTTGCACAACTTAGCTATCTCAACCAAATCCTATTAATATGTCCTTCTAGTGAAAGTGCACAAAAGGTGTCATCTGG